TCTCGAATGTATATTTTTCTTTTTCAGGCTGTAAGAGTAGAACACTGTGAGCGTGTTCATTTAATTACAGTTGCAAAAAGAGTCTGCATTGCAAACTGTCGAGAGTGTTTGTTCTTTTTGGGGGTAAATCAACGACCACTGATTGTTGGTGATAATCATAAGCTGCAGGTGAGTCATTATTCAATCTTGCTCTTTGAAATTTTCGGATTTCCTTTAATTTTAGTTAACATGGATTCTTTTATCTCATGGCAGGTGGCACCATATAATACATTTTACTCTCAATTAGGAGACCATATGACTGAAGTTGGCATTCAGGCAGCTCTGAATAGATGGGATGAACCACTCGCCCTTGGAGTGGTAGACCCACATGATTCATTATCTCATCCTGCAGGTGTCTCTGATGTACAAACTGAGACTGCTACATGTCTGGACCCTGATCAGTTCACAAATTTTTTGGTAGGCCGTTTCTTTTAGGGAGGAAAACTTACAGAGGGCAGTATTTTTTTCTTAATTTTTCATGCAAGCATTTGTTTTTACCTTAGGGTGCAGCCTACTGGAGTCAGTAAATCTGCATTTTTTTTTTGTTTGGATGGGAAATATTATTTTACATTTTTCTTATGGTGCTCTATCTACTGTTGCAGCTCCCAGACTGGGTTTGTGGTGAATTTTCCGGATCTACTGACTGCAATCCATTCCCATTACCAGATGTTTACTTGGCATCTCTTGAGAGAAATGTATGTTCAACAAACCTTGCTGATTTTCTAAGCTTGCATTGGCACGTGAAAAATTGTAAAACAATTGCATTAAAATTTGTCCTTATTTGGCCTTCATTTTCACGGTGTTGGTTTCAATTACCTCTTATAATGGACTCATTATATTTTTCCCCCTCAGAAAAGGAATTTGGGGGAAGTAAAGCAAATACTGAGAGAAACCCCACTTGAAGAGAACCGCAAGCGAGAACTATCATCTGCACTTCATGTATACTTCAAAGACTGGCTATATGGTATTGTTCCTTTCTTTTCTTTGCATGTATATACATCAGAGACGTGAATGATAATTATCCATTTTTGAGTACTTTTATTTAAGAATATTTTGCTGCAAAGATAGACTATTGATCTGCATGTAAGCTATAGCCCAAAACTTCATTATTATCACAATATCAAAAAATATCAAAAAATTATGAATGAAGATCAAACCTTTCTTAGAAGCAATTGGAAACTGTATTCTCATGGATATGAAAAAAACCAACAATATGAAAAAACTATGAATGAAGATCAAATCTTATTTTGGAAGAAGCAGGCTTTTTATTGATTTTTTGAAAAGTTTACACTCATGGATGTAGATATCAAAAAATTATATATGAAAATGAAACCTTTCTTAGAAAAAGTAGATTTTTTTTTTCATTAATTTGTTGAAAATTTACTAAATAATTTGCAAACTATATCGGGCTCAATAATCCTGATTAAGTTAATCTTAAGTATAAATAATTACATATAGAATTGGACTGAGATCATCATGAACAAGCTTAACATAGGTAGGTTTGTCACTTCTTCCTGACCAACCTTGCTATGGGAAATTCTGTCATTTTCTCTTAATCCAAGTATTAGAATACTTCTACTCCATATATTAACAAAGTCTTCCATTCTTCTTAATTTATTGCCACACATGAGCCGGATAATATACCCCTTTGTACTTTATGCACAAACCTAGAACATGTGGACTTGATTTGAATGAAATCCCCAGAAATATTAGGCTTTGGCTTTGCACGACTGGGAGAGGTCAATAGTCTAGAAGGGTGTTGGTAGAGAAAATGATTTTCGGGAGGAGGGTGATTGTAGTGATACATGGGGAGTATTTAAATCGAAACAAAAGAGAAAGCCAACTATCGGCCAAGGGTTGAGAAAACCCTCCCCCAACAACTAAACAATAGTCGTCTTTATTTCTGAAGGCTTCGATGGGGGGAATCTAAAGAGTAAGGCGGTGGTTCTATGGAGCAGTGCGGCACATCTGGAAAGAAAGAAACAGCCATTTTGTTGAAGATAAGATGACTTTGATTGATTCTTTTTGTGTGAATATAAAACATATAGCTTCTTGGTGGGCATTATCCCGGAGGAATTTTTTTGTAACTACAATCTTGTTTACTTATTCAAGATTGGAAATGAGTGATTGGATAGAGCTTAGGGGAGGGTTCTCTCTACCCTCCTCCATTAGGTTGTTCCCCCTTTGTCTGGGCTCTTTTGTTATGAATACAAGTTCCTTGTTTCTTCTAAAAGAAAAAAACAAAAAAAGAACTAAACAATAGTCCCTTTCCAATCCTTCACAATTGAGTTGAACCTATAGTTACAAAAGAATTTCTCGTGATTTGTAATCCACCAAGAAGCAGTATGTTGTATATTATTGTTTGGATAACTGGGAGTCGGAGCTTTGCTCCTCTATACCTGGGGCACCTGCGCCAGCCCCAAGGCCCGGATTCAGGATACATAAGGGCTTTTTTGGTATTAAGTTCACTAGAAGATTCGAACTTAAGACCTCTAATCCAATATGACCAAAGGACTCCTCGCCCTTGCCAACTGAGCTACCCTCCAAACCCTTGCCAACTGGGCTGCCCTTGTGTGTTGTATGTGTATTTCAAAAAGAATCCTCAAGAGGTTTTTTTCCCTAAGAAAACCTAGTATTACGCTCCCTCCAAAGTCCCCATATTAAGGACCGTGCTGCACAACTCCAAATAATTTGAGCTTTGCCCTTTAAAAGGTTACCACAAAAAAATTCCAATAACCAGTCATCGATCTTAAGAGGCAAACAGAAGGAGATATCCATCATGGAAGAAATAAAAGACCATCCCTTATGAGCCAAAGGACAATGCAAGAAAATATGAACCATAGTTTCTTCATTTCTGCCACATAGACAACAAAAAGAGGGAGAAAGATGCCAAGTAGGAAAGTGTCTTTCTACATTTTCTGAAGTATTTAAGCTTATGTGAAAGATAGTCCAGAGGAAGAACTTGACCTTTTTTGGGACTTTGAAATTCGATACAGAATTAACCACCGAGCAGTTGATATGACCCTTTTTTTGTTTTCTCTTTGATAGGAAACAAATTCTTTTTTTGTTTTCTCTTTGATAGGAAAAAAATTTCATTGATAGCATGAAATATACAAAAAAAGCCTATCCAAATGAAGTTACAAAATACTTCTCCAATTGGATATAAGAGAATTTAGTGCTATCAACCTTCCACCAAATCTTATCTTTGCCTTCCCCTAGATGAAAAAGATCTAGGATCCCCACATTCACCAATTCCTTTCCCTTCGCCTGTTTTTACCCCATTGGCACCATGAGAGATCTTTGATGTACTCTTTGATCTTTTCTTACGTTGGCTTACTTCCACTGCATGCTTTCCATTGGATTCTTATTAATCTTTTCTGCCACCACTCCAGAGCTTGATTCCACTGCATCCCATATATTTTCCCTTTTCTTTCCTTTGGGTGTACCAGTATAGAATTTTGATACGTGATACCAACTGATAGAATTCTATCATCATATACTGAGTAAGAGTAAACACAGAAAGGTTAGACTCCACAGAACAGTAACTTACTACCTTGCCCATCTCCTTCTTACAACTCTCTTACATATACAACCTCCCAATTGAGAACTACTGGTGAGGGGCCCACTACCGCACTTGCAAAATATACTCTCTGATGAATAACTCACTCTCCCCTCTAACTCATGCATTTAATCCCATGTCTTCTTCCTTGCATGCACAAAGTTTATTGGCCGATCAGATTGTCAGCCGAAGGGAGTAACAGTTACTGGGAGAGGTTAGGCCTCTCAAATTCCTGAGGTTGTAATTTGAGGTATTGAGTAAAGGAGATAATGACCGACCAGCTAGAAACTAGATAGATATATTAAGCTCATTTTCATAGCCTTGGATAGAGACGTTTATTGAATCAGAGCTTCATCTGTTGTATTGAAGTAAATACGTTTATGGCTTCTGTTTGAATCTGTGATGTGTTTTGCCTGTTTGT